AAAGAACCACCGAAATACATTATGCTTTGGTGATATATTTGATTATGGTTTAGAACTTTTTAGCAATTCACATTCACGAGTTTTCTGACTTCAGCCTTCCATTAAAAAAAAATACCTTAAAGATGAGAAACTGTTTCACTAAAATGGATCCACTTTAAAAGTAATTGAATCACCATAAACCCAATATATGAATATCCGACGACTGTTCATAAGTAAATAAGTTTAGGATAAGTTGCCTGGAATTGTGCTGAGAAGTCATGACCGATGGTGTCCACTAGGTTGGATATATGGGGACAGATGTTAACAATCAGTGGACTGGACGAAGTCGTAGAATATGAACCTGTGATTTCAACCTAGTGTCTGCATAGCAGCGTGCTTCGACTCGTAACCTGCTACCTCTGGGTTCGATACTTCATGATCTGGTTAGTGGGCACTACTCAGTAGTGTCAAACTAGGACAAAATACCCATCCAGTACTTCTTATTTTTTCTCAGTTTATCTTCCAACAGACGTCGGAACGATGATGATATTATCACGCTACCTGTCCAGTTAGACCAACTTGTTTCATTTCTAACCGTGGTGAATAAAACGTGGGAAACAATTAACTGACTGTTGTTAGGATCCCAGAAGGATAATGTTGCCAACTTTGTTTTAAATAATGTTTTGTATGCAGATTATAAATTTTTGGATGTAGTAGTGCCAATTATAATTTTTTCATATACAAATGTTAATGATTTTAGTGATCGTTGTAACAATAAGAACATGTAAACGTAGACAACAGTGAGCATAAAGTTGGAAGTTCATTCAGGCTTGGTTAGGCTGCTTTGTATATCGAGTCGTATGTGTGTGCGCTTTGTGCCTTCATAATTAGTCTTGACAAAACTGCGAAACACAAAAAGTATCAAACTACAAAAAGGCAAATGTGAGATTGAAGTGAAAACCCATTGCTTCCCATACATAGTCTACTGAATAAGAGGTTATCACCAAAACCTCTAACTTGAGAAATGATGAAAAAGATCAGGAGAAAAATATGAACCAAGGTACATGGCAGCTGTTGCATTCTCTAATGCATAAATACCACTCAGACAGGTACCACAAAACTGAAATATTTCTCAGGAATACTGTCCACCTTTGGAATCGAAATTAAGCGCAACCATTTTATTGATTGGAGAATAAGATTATTCACATACATTGCAGTTTTTTCTGTGTCAAATGGTAGAAGATATTAAACAGGAAGTATATTTGGCTTAGATTTCGTTCTTGTTAGCACTCGTCACCACAGTACATCCGAAGAACTTCTTGTAATCTCAGATAACAACTTTGGCAACCAGAAAACAGTTTTCTGCCAAGAAGGACCATATAAGGAAATGATATCAGAATAATGGCTTAAAAGATATCCTTTTTAAACATAAATGTCATACCATGCCACGTTACTCGTCCTTGCACAACCACTGAGATCTATAAATCTTCCTAGCATGAAGCTTTTGGACACACCTTAGTTTTGTTTAGTTATTTGCTTTTAACAAAGTGAATAAACAGTTCAGTCTTTGAAATGCAAAATTATCATTTCCTTTTAATTAGTTTGGACAGATAGTAAAGTTCTACTCATCTTCATGATACATTACAATCGTACCCATAGTGTTTCCAATGTGTTCATATATATAACACCATACCGAAAGTGAAATCAAAACACGGTTATAGTATTGCAGACCATGAGAAAACTCTATGTCTAACAAAACTAGAAAGAAGTTGAAAACTCTAAAGACAATGACGAAAGTTTCCAAGATTTGTATTGATGTGTTTGCGTTACTGAGAAAACACAGTCATGATTAAAGCTGGAAGAAAATCTAAGTCTTAACATTAGGACTACCAGCCTGACACTGTACCAGTTGATCAGAAAGAATAGGTTGCTTAAAATGTTTATATTATGCTTTAATCACCAAAATTTTGCCAATCATCGTTACGCTAACAGTCCAGTTATACCGCATTACCACAATGCTAAATTAAATGAATCTGAAGGAGTACAACAACCAGACTACTGATGAAGAGTCCCAAACTAGGACGAAACAGCTGTCCAGTACTCCCAGGTTTTCCAATGGCTCTCTAACTAATGTCAGCTCATGATGAAATCCTGTAATAGTCCTGATTTGTTTTTAATGAGATCAAGATTAAAGCTGAAGTGAAAACTTAGCTTGAGAGTGAGTGATGAGTGTGAAAAATAACAACTTGAAAAGTCAGTTTTATGACAACTGAGTAGCGGATAGTAATCTTCATATATGTTTAATTCCAAATGTTGAATAAAATATTTCAACCATATGCTCTTCAACATCAGTCAGCGAAGCATGTGACAACACAATTCATAATTGCATCTATGGTGTTGATCATCAAAATGCCTTGATCCTACGTTTATGAGATGTATTCCTTTTCAGTCAGTGTCTGCAATCTTTGTAATTCCTTCCCTTAATGTCAAATTTAGGTGTTTCACTAACAAGCTATTCATGATTAGATTACATATTCGAATTTACTGTCAGGTGAAAACTAACATGAGTCCCTAGTCAAGCACGAAACGTAGGTCAGATGCTTTCGCCAACTGACTGTGATATAAAATGAACTTTTTTCTACAACTGCAATACAATTTAATGTCATTAATCTGTAGAAGTTTACCTGAATGCACAAAGGTATGCAAAATTTATAATAGTATTCAACTGTTCTGTGATCACTATTTACGTTAAAAAAGATTCTGCATCATTTCAGAAGTATTATTTGTATTCATCGACTGCATTCCGAGTGGAAGATAAGGCTTCATCTCTACTGCATTCAGTTCTTTGCTAAGACTTTCGACCTGCTCCACGACTACCCACAAGCTTTCATTACCTCTTCAGATATTCTTATCCATAACACACTTGAACGTCCAATCCATCGCTTACGTTTCTGGATCCACTCGAGGGCCTAGAGCGTGACGTCACTAAAAGGTCTCTTTAGCGTATATCAAGTCTGTCTGCTATTCAGGAAGTTACCTGGAGTTCTAGTGAGGAGGCGTAACCTGCGGGGTCCACCAAGTTATGTATATATATATATATATATATATATCGTGAACTGGCAGGAGTTGGAACTCATGAGTCGTTGGATTGGGTCCAGTGGCTGAATGGTCTATAAGCTCTCCTTGAAACCGGAAGATCCTGGATTTGAGCCCTGGTGAATGAGTGCCCCTGAAGAGTCCAAAACTAGGATGAAACAGTTATCCAGTGCCCTGATGTATTCCAATAGTTCTCTAACTGATATCAGCTCGTTATCAAGCCTGTAACCAATCAGATATCTGCAAATCAACACCTGATAACTCTGCATGTTTGTTGAACGATTCATTCTTGACTAGTCCGCTGACAGAGTTCCTTGTTGTATGTCCTATCCCGCAATCTCGTTTTCAGAACCACACCTAGTTTACTAGCCAGTTTCAAGCCTGAGAAAGAAGGAAGTCTAGGCGTGTTACTAGCAAACTCACCATAAAAAGCAAACCCATGCTACTGAAACCTCTAAGCACAACCCAATCTAGGGAGTGTATGCAACCAAATTAAAATTTCAGATGGAACTTTACCTTTTCAAGTATTGGTTTTGTAGGGATTTTTGTTTGATTGCATGGAGGATTTCATTATGAGCTGACATCAGTTAGAGAATTCAAGAACCATTGGATTGGGTCATAGTGGCTCAATGGTCTATGAGCTCGCCTTGTAACCAGAAAGTCCTGGGCTCGAACCCCGATGGGTGCGTACTGATGAAGAGTCCCAAACAAGGACGAAACATCCGTCCAGTACTCCCAGGTTTCCCAGTAGTTCTCTAACTGATGTCAGCTCATGATGAAACCCTTCATGCAATGAAACTTTACTTCACCGATTGAAGCGAAACTGTATCTTTCATTTGCTTTTCAATGTTATTTATTCAGTATAGATTATTTAATTTCTTCTCTGGTAATTATTCAGATTAATCCTCAAACGTCTTGTTACATTAAAAAAAAAATCTGTTTAATGATAAATTATTTCACTCTAACCAAAGGGAAATTTTACGTGAATCCATTTTCTTTTGTTAACATTTCAAACTACTACTCATATTTTCTTTATTAATTCTTGTGTCTAGTTTCTAATGTTCATAAAAAAAAAAGAAGGAGAGGGAGAGTTCGAGCCAACCATAACAAGCTCATGATGTATAATTTTAGTTTCACACAATTGTTATATGACCTTTCAGCAAAACATCATACAGAGTTCACAAAATCTAGTGTACACACAATCAGCATTTTTAGCTTTTCTCTTTTCATGTTCAAATCACACACACCAATAATCTGAATGAATTAGGCTGAGCACACATACACATTAAATTAGTTGGGGGAAGGGAGGTAGGGGAGGATAATTTTGCAGTCCGTACTTCTATCCAATGTCTGTTTCAGCCGTGACATTTTCCTCTTCTCACTATGTCAATCCTCTAAGCATTTGGTCAGAGTCATTGTAAGGCAAAAACAAATCACATGTGCGCATGCAGCATAGTAAGTTAAAATACAAAGGATAATACTCAAGTAAGGGGACAAGCTTCCATCCCATTCCCAATCACACACCACCCTGTTATTTTACTGCTCCAATCGATATAGCAAGACTGCATATATACATTGTAATCTACGCACATCATTCACTACCATACCTTGTTTAACTAACTCAAAGGTTGGGACACGTTAGAGTAGTCATACTATCATACACACACTCACACATGTATACAGTTTTCTTTCAAAGTATGCATTTATACACAACCAAACATGAGTTCAAACATACTCTTTCAGGCACTTTCTCGAATAAAATTTTGACTGTCCGTACTACAATGTGCTAAAAACATCACTCGGACTTACCGTAATCCAAGGGACATCGGTAGTTCATTGGATAAAATTAAAACTAACAACATATCACATAAATTTTAAATTTCATTAAATATTTTTTTTTCCTTCCTTTGCATTTGTACTTACATCATTACCTGAAAAGAAGTGAAGTTTGAGCTAATAATAGCAGCAGCAATTTTTGAGTAAACGCCAGTGGCAGTTGTATAAGACCCAGAAGAAGACAAAACGTAAAGAAAAAAATATATATTTTTCCACAAAAAATCTACTCAACTACAATTCATTGAACTATAGTAAATATATATACATACATATATACTGCTCATGGATGAACAAGAAACATTTCAAGTAAATACTGTTGACACTATTGCTACTACTGTCATTGATAATAACAATAATAATACTGCTACAGCTACTGCTACTACTATTATCAGTAGTACTACAAATAGTAATAGTAATTCACCGCATTCATCTTCGAAAAATGAAGTCCCCTACAATTTTACAGATCAGCACAAATCTTATGAACATGAATTATCAAATAGTATAGACGATGAACATTATCATCGTCATATACAAGATATGATGATTGACCAAACTGATGCTAATGATATTGCAGAAGATATTGATGACCAAGAATACCCAGACGATATTAATCCTTATTCGCATAAAATGGATACATTCAATTTTACTTATTCAACAAATACAAATGATTCTGATGATTCAATGAAACAGATTACCAATATGAACAGAGATACAGAAAAGACAATCTACTCAAAATCAGCACTAAACAATCCTAATGATGATAAAAGACCAAGAAAATTTGTTTGTCGATATTGTAATAAAGCATTCAGTCTGATGAATGTTCTTAAGGTGCACGAAAGAATACACACTGGAGAAAAGCCGTATGTTTGTGAAATATGCAATAAAGCATTTAATCAAAGCGGTAAGTACTCGATACATTGAAGTTTCATGCTTTTTATTGTCCAATGATTTTCAAAAATATAGGTACATATTTTCTATAGATGTTATCTCTAAACAATCTTCGAAGCCCAAAAGGCACGGAGATGAGATGTTTGCTCATGCCAGTGTTTTAGATGTATGCACAGTTCCCCTGCATTCATAGTGCTGGCAGGCAGTCAGTGATGTTCAGTAATAGATACTGATGATCACATGCTAGTTTGGTGGTATAATTTTCTGTCTGACAGTTACCATTGGATATTAGCGTTATCCATAGAGTTCAGCAGACGGAAGCGGTTACCTCTTCACTGAATAACTGTTTCTTGAGGCAGGATCTTACATCCTGACTTATTATGTCATCTGACACTGAACAAATAAATCTCTTTTCACTGGTAACTTAAATCGCTTAGTTTACCCAACTAACCACTGATGTGTTTGTATCGAACTGTTTCTGAGATATATACAAGTGTATTTTTTAAACATATGTTCGGGATACTTGTTCAGACAAGCCTTTAATGCATGATATTCGAACAAGTATTTTCGTTACATTAGTTTCTCGTTTGATCGTGACTTTTTATCCTGTCTAAATGTCGAACTAATTTTAAACTCTGATTTACAAGATTTGTTAAATTAGGAGAGATTATCATTTGCTCCAGAGTGCTATCAAATACAAAAGAAATATATTTATTCTAGTTCTGTATAACAATTTTTTTAAATATTTATGTATCTACATAAGTAAAATTTGTGCTTCACGATAATGTTAACTATATTTAATCTTTGTGCGTCGGTGGCATAGCGGTTAGGACGCTCGCCGACCATGCACATGGTCCGGGGTTCGAACCCCGGCTGGCGCACTCCTTTACCTCGCTAAGCCAGAATTAAAGGTTAGGCATGAGGCTAGCAACCCCATCCTGTAAAAATAAACACTGCTACAGAAACTTCAAGTCATTAGCTTGAAGCTCTATGTTCCTCTGGGAACGTGAAGGAATAACAAATAAATTTTAAAAAATTTAATCTTGATACTAAGGGAGATATAGCAGCTTGATACCTGGGTCTCACCGAATCAGGTAGGAAAGACTTCGATTTTGGGTCTACAAAATCAAAGTCTAGTGTGCGGTTCAATGAGCAAGTGATCAGGGATATTTCATTCCCAAGGTAGATGACGCCTAACTACACTGCTATAGGGATAATACCGAACAGCTGTCAAAATTTTTCTCATTTTACTGATGCTTAGATGCAAAAGTTTATTTTACACCACATGAAACTTGTTAAATCTATTTAGTGCAATCAAAAAATTTGTTTGCATTCGGTCTACTGAGTACATAAAAATGACATGTGAATCGGTAAACTTTCGGTTAATGAGTTATCTTTCTATTTTATAGAACCCATTAGTCGTATTCATCCTCTGAGAAAAGAAAACTACATTCCGATTACATTTCGTTTTACAATTCCTTAATCTCTGGGATTTACGGCATTACTAATCGATTTAAGCACCTAAACTGCAACTGTGAATCTTGATTTCAAACCCTGTTTGGACTGCTACAGCCTGGGAGTCTAAGAATATCATTATTATTATTTTTTTGGTGAATAAGCATGAAGCGGGTCACTGATCGCATAGTTACCGTTTCTGTTTTCAGTGATTTGCAAATCTTATTAACTGGAATAATGAATTTTGAGGTAAACCCGGATGATCAGTATTATAAACTTTTTCGTACTTCTCACTGAATGAAAAACGAAACGATATTGTTTTTACTGACGTTTAGCTATTTAACGCTAATAGCTTTATCGGAGTATCATTAAACCAGCATTTATCAAATCTCCGTTCATATACCGCAATTTAATTAATCACCGTTCTTCAGAGTGAGGTAATTTTTATGTTGTCTTTACCGATTGACCAACTTGACTACATAAAAATTACCTCATGCTGATAAACGATGATCAAGTTGTTATATATAAGCTACGATTTTGTAGATTCTAGCTTAATAATACTTTGATAAAGCTATTAGCATTAAATAGCGAGACGTCAGTAAAAACAATATCATTTTGTTTTCCATTCATTAGGAAATACAAAACTTTTATAATAATGAATATCCTATACCCAACATCCAAGTTTTTTTCAAAATGGTAGAAGTGAACTCGGTTTGGACATATACAACCTGGCTGATGGTTATGGTCTACCTTAATACCTTATTTCAACAACTAAGCCACTAGTACTAGCTTGTATAACTTTCTCCAACCTTTTCTAGAGATATTAAGACAAATTATCTTTGAATAATAATCGTTCTTAAAAAATTTATTGAAATCTGTTGGATTACAATATATTTCAGTTTCAGACATAATTTAAAGGGCAAAGTAACAATTAGTTCTTTTTTATCTGGCGAATTCTTTGTGACTCTTTGTTAAAAAAGTGTAATTAGGTGGGGATTTAAATACATTTCAGTTTGATTTGTCATGAAATGACATCGATTGGTAGGTGGGTTGCAGTTATACTTTGCCGCGAATTAACAGAAGCTGCAAATTATAGGCCGTCGGATTCCCACAAACGGATTAAATGGTAACATGCCTACCTTATAACCTCAGGATTTGGGATCTCAATCAAGCGTGTGTCGTCGGTGAACACTCCTTAAGAGTTAAAACTAGGATAAGTCAGCCTTTCACTACTCTTCTATTTTCCCTACTAACTTCAGAGAAGTCATAGTAGAATGAAATGCCTAAGAATACTTGTACAAATACACAATGGACCCCATTTTATCACTGTTCTAAACTAGCGCCGAGCTTAAACGTGATTACCGAATCTTAATATTTCCCTTTTAAATTTGTCCCTATGCGAAGAAGGATCAGTAGACATTGAGTGAGTGGAAAATATCGTTTCACAGTCTACTCAAATCACAGCTGTTCAGTTAATAATCAGCGTCCGTAAGTATGGTTTGTGTTATACATTGTCAAAGTGCATACTACTTCTGCATAACTGTTGAGATCTTTATCTGCACTCACCGGTGAAAATAGCGTTAAAAGACGTAGTGTATTTGCTGTGAAAATGCTCTATGGTTCCATACTAAATCAATACCGTATTCATGAGACTTATCCTGTTAAGTGGCGAATTCGCAGGTGTAATTCTGACTATTGTTCTATCTTGGTAAGGAACTATAAGTAACAATTGATTTCATTCTGAAATACTGAGTTTTATAGCTTGAAGATTTCCCATAGTGACTAAGTTGTTTTTCTCAGGGTGGAGTCCCTTCGTATCCCCTTATTCTGGACTTGGAACCAGCTAGAGAAATAGTTAACTTGTGTCCCACTAACTTTAAAATTTACAAGCGAATACCAACAAGTTGCTAAAAGAAGCAGGCAGTATGGGACTATAGGTGAACATAGAGAGCACAGATATCTAACCAACAGCAATAAACGGCAATCACCATGAGTGGGAGAAATCTAAAGCAAGCTGTCTATTACAGTTTCCTAGTAAACATCTACTCAACTACAGGATAACAAGATCAGCCAGCCAGGATAGGGAGAATAAGACGGGTGTTCATAACTCTAAAATCAGTGTGAAGATACACAGCAGTTACCACAAGAAACAAAATCACAATTTTTGGCATTAATATCAGTGCTTGTATACAGAAGAAGGACTTAGCGAGCTAGTTAATGGAAACATTTCCAACCACCATGTTAAGACTTTCGTCTACAACTGCCTTTGCCCGCTCAATGCTGAAGACCAGATTGCTGTCCGACCAGTGTGAAAGGACCAGTATCGTGGAATTCTTGAAACAAACCAGCCGCTAACCTATCACCCAACGAATACGAAGAGAGAAATTGAGGTGGATTTAACATACCCTGTAGAGACCGTTGATTGACGTCGCACGCCAGGTCCTCGAATGGAACGGCGATAATAAGCAATGGGTTGGACGTAGGTCAAAGGGTGCAGTACAGAGGAAATGAAAGGTTGTTGGTAGTCGTGGTTCCAACCGGAACAGACTGCAAAGAAGAAAATACTATAGAGATATACTTCCCAAGCCCTATGTACCACTGGGAATCCAAGGCATGAACAATTTAACGTAATAATAGCTTGATAATATTGTCTATTTTTTCTCGGACGCTAAAATAGATTTTATTGTTCGCTTTTCCTGAGATTGGATAGAAGCAGAGAGATGACTTCTTCAGTTAGTGACTTGATTTCATTGGGCTTCATCTAACGACTTGTCATCTAATCTTTCGGCTGATAATACAAAATACCTATTTTAATTTATCTTCTAGGTTCGGATCTTTAATATTTAAGCTTAAGTAGTACGTCTTTATAACTGTTGGATTATTTTATTCCTAAAATGATCAATTCAGTAATATTTGATAAATATTTACGACTGCTAAAAAGCCTAATCGTCACGTGATTAGGTATAAAAAGTACTCATTTTAATTCAATGATAGTTTTTCTTTAAGTAGAAGTTGTTGTTACCATCGTTCACTGTGATAAATGAACATCTGACGTCTAGCAATTAAGTTATACGTCTGTTTTCCGAAACACGTAATACATGTATAGCTACAGATATATTTCTTAATGTAACAACCAAATAGACATAATTGTAACTTTTAATTCCATGTCTACTTTTCATTTTTTTAAAAAAAAAGATGGTTCCAACCCAAATGGAATTATAATTATATCGTATTCCCTAGGAATACTGTGGTGGTGGTGGTGGTGGTGCTGGTTACAAAAATCAGACCCATGAATTAGAAATTCATCTGTAATTATCTTCACCCTATCACTGACAGAAAATGGTGTAGTTTAAAACAAACTACAAGCTAAATATTCCATCTGGTTGTTCGGAGATAAAAGAGTGAGGATTGCAAACTTTCTGGCCAGTAACACAGAACTGAGTGTGCTTTTTTTAATCGCTCACTTCATGTCTACTGAGTATTTCTGTCTTCTTTTCTAGAAGCAGTTATATATGTTGGTAATAATAATTGGAGATTGAATGACCACTGTGAATTCATGAGGTAGCGTGATTAATCATACATACAGTTTCATTTATTTTATTACTTTAATCTTCAGATGAACTAATCAAATTTTCAGATGGATGTCTGTAGGTCATTCATACGTGTTTTCACATAATCATTCATTCTAGTCTAACCAATCTATGCCTTAGCCTTATGACATCAGCCTTTCTGTTATTATGAAACTGATATAGTTTAAAAATAGAATGTTCATTGTTCTTCTTTGAGTCTTTTAGTGTGTGTTAGTCGATTATGCAGTTAGTCATTCAATTAGTCTCTTTGATTCATCTAGTTTCAAGGTTATTCATTTTAAATAAAGAGTAAGTAGGAAACGCATTAATCAACTCAAACAAAAAGACTGTGAAAATCTATTAGACTCTAACTTGCTGTATGAAATTTGATCTTATGGTCTTTAAATTGACTGTGGAAATTCCATGATGTACTCAGATGTAAGGAAAATAAGCACAAACTTAGCAGGGTAAAGCAGTTTTTATTGAAAATTCACAATTGATGCGAATGCCTACATTAACTTTATTTATTTTCGCTAAACTAAATTATCTAATTGGAATGCTTCAACTGTTGGTAATGAAGGGGAATTCTTCAATTGGAAGATGTTTTCGTTGGAGATGTTATTCACTTGTATCACTGATAATTAACATTTTTGAAAAACATTACTAATACAGAAAGTGACTCCATAGCATATTGATTTAAATCAATAAATATAATATTACCTCTAATGACAGTGATAGTTTTAATAAAGAGTGAAAGGGAGATATGTCAAGCAAATGGAAATGTATAGCTTTGAGTACTTCCATGTGTTTGGTAAAGATAAATTTTAAGCACATCTATTTCACTTCCTTCCAGTCTACATTCATTTCACCTTATATATCAAATCAGTGGTTCGCATTGCTTGGCAGTCTCTAACTAGGTACTCTGTCTCTACCTGCATAGCTTAGAACAATACTTAGATATCGTCGGTTGTTACTGTTGGTGTTTGATCTTGCAAACAACAACTATGTTCCGATTTGATACGATTCTATTTAACACGGGACTATGTCACACAGAGACGTTTATTATGCGTATAATATATCAAGAACACAGCTAGATGGAAACTGTCAGTCTCATTCTCTAATTTATGCATGTCATTTAACATTTTACATCTACTTCATTTCTTTTAAACTGACAAAGTATGCTACCTTTCCTTTAGATCTAGACTTTGTTATGAATGAATAAGAAAATACTACATTTTTTCAAGGGAACTTTCGTTGTTACTCGACATCAACTACAGAATTCACTCACAATCAAGAAGCATTGATTCCCAGAAATAAACTTGTTTGCGACGTTTAAATAGCTTGAAAATCTTCATTAAGCCGAATAAAAGAAGAGGTATTACGCGATGAGTTACTTTTTTCAGCGATTTCATTCTCAAGTGACACAATTACTCATACGTAATACATTTGCATTTTTCCAAAGATAACAACCAGGAGATTATAAATTACATAGTACTGAAACATTAGTCAGGTACAGATTAGATTGAAATTAAGTAAATGTAGTGACTTAACATAATTGAAAAGACTGAGGAGAGTTCAAAACCAGCGTAATAAAGACTAGAGATATTATAGTAAGGAGAGAGGAAAAATAAATTTTAGAAAACACATCGAATGTTTTAGCAAATGAGGCTGACAGCAAAAACTTTTTCTGTGTACAGAAGTCAGAATTTGACATATGTATTATCATAGTTTCTGGGGTTTAAAGAAGTCTGATTTGTACGTCGTTTACAAGGAACTCGCATACACTGTTTACGACTCTCAGATTGTTTTTCGAGCTTACGTGGTGTCCAGAAAAGAGCTGCAGGGGTACATTTCTCTCCTCTGTGAAAACATGGGGGTGAATTTTTGATGATAAGTTTGAATATCAAACGCTTAATGTGGCTGATATACCTAGCTCCACAGGAGCAGATGAACTGGTAGGCACACACTGACAGGCCAGCAGTGGTAGCCTATCCTTCACGTTATTTCGATCCATAGATGTTATAGAGTCAGTGAGTCTAAATTCAGCTGCGAATGTTTTCCTCAATGAATGTGACAAAAGGTTTCTTAGTATTTCTGCATATAAGTCTCCACTGAATTGCAGGTTAAGTTAGGTTTTTCGGGGAACAGAAAGTGTGTGGTCTTAATTATTTAGGCCTCATTAATTTTCTGATGAAGCATTTAGCGTAGCTGTTTTCATTGAGAACCTATTTTAAAGATCTCAACACTTCTGACATGGTGTCAAGATTGCAAATATAGCCGATTCTGTGATTTCGTCAATGGATCAGGTTCCGCTTTGTTTGTAGAGGCACCCAGCTGTAGATGCTTCTGAGTTGTCCGTTCATTTTGCTGCTATAAAATTGTATTATGTATATGCCACAGAACAAATTGAAAATGATATTTCTGAAGAAAGTGACTCTTCACTAAACGTCTCTTCTTTTATTAACTTTTCTAATTAATTTATTACTATACAATATGCCGAAACGATAAGACTAATAAACCAACCAACAAAGCAGTGGAGATTTTCTGCATGGAAGAAACGGAAATGATTTGTGGAGACTGGAGCTGAAATAAATGGAATACGCTTAAACTTGTGACTTAATCACCAGGAATCTACTACGCAAACCACAGATTTATAATATTTGTCTTTTGAGGAACAAACAAAATGTCTGAAGTCAGAGTGAATTCTGAATTATGGAAATATTAACAGAGTTTCCGTAAAGAAAGTGTTAGTCTCAGCTCGTCTTTCATTTCCATAAAATTACAGACATTTGTAACTTAAACAAGACTACAGCTGTCTCAACTTTTAAACTCACATGACGATATAATTCTACAGTGCACACATCATTCTGTCAGTCATTGTGATACAGCTGCATGACTAGTCCACTTACTTACCCGAGCGTCTAGAAAAACTAGAAATCGGACATCGTCTAACACTGGGATTTCTTTAGTCTCGCCAACACATTTACACGATATAGACTACTACTCACGGAGATAAAATCTGTCCTTATCATTCGTTCATTAGTTTGGCGGAACGCTCAAAGAGTTTTTCTTCAGTTGATGCAGAGTATCCTACTACCAGACTAAGCTTCTTAGTCAGTTTACTAATGGCGTAAGAATATATTTCAGTGATAATTCTATAACTTTAATAGAAACCACTGATAAGATACTCTAGAAACAAGTGTAACATCTACTGATGCTAATTAGGGAAGCAGCTTTGAGCATCATCGTTTCGAAAATGCCACTATATGAATCTATATCTTGACAGAATATTCTGATGTCAAGAAATTTGTATTTCACTCGAATGTTGAGTAGAAAAATGGATGAATTAACTCTGAAAACCGCAAGAACTAACTCACAATTTTATCAAATATTTCTTTAATTTCTGCTTTTCTTTTTTTCCTGTTTTCTCTTAGGTTCTTTAAATCGTCATAAAAATACTCATACAAAACGCAGTAGTGATAATCGCAGCTATTCATGTCGATTTTGTCCCCGACAATTTCTGCATTCTAGTCAGCTACAAGACCATGAGACCGTTGAGCATAGTATGGAGGCAAATGTACCCAATTCTAAATCAAATGATTCAGGAGTTAGAAATTATACCACACCACCACCGACATCATTATCAACCATAGCACCGACAATGACGGATGAAACAAATATAATTAAACAGAATCATTTATCTAGTCAACTGCTTCACAATAAAGTAATAAATGACTCTTTGAAATTATCGGGTGTAGAAACGAGTAGTATGGATCAAAATGCTAGTAATGTTCACGCTAATAACTTGGATAATGAAGGTTTAGACGATGCTAATTCCGTGGCATATTTAAATTCTGCGCCTAATCTTTTTGAGCTTGATACTAAAAGTATAGGTGCTTCAAATAAATTTCCATTCCCATACGGTTTAAATTTGATCAGTAAATTCTTACCTGTTGGTACAGCAGATGATTTTATGAGGTCAATAGAAGAGAATAATATAAATGGGGCATTGAACTGTCTAGTGACAACAGCTACAGCAAATTCGACATCTCCTTCTGTTGTTGCAACTGCTACAAGTTTTTCCAATGGAGTTGATCCGGTCAGTCATGGAACAGTGAAACAAGACTTTTTAAATAACACAAATACATTTACGTGCACACTGTGCTCAGCAAATTTATCCTCGAAAACAGAATTAGATTTACACTGGGGACAACATTTTATACAACAAATGGGTAAGTTGGATCCAATTTTTTGAAATATAAATGTGTAACCTTGATTGGTAAATTTGATATACCTCATATATCTATTCCGTTTGTATAGTACTTTTTGTGATGGCATAGTAATACCTTATCTCACTTCACTTTCTAACAACTCTGTTTATATAAGGCCAATGAGTAGTCGAAGTGAGCGATGTCAAAGATTTTAAAAGACAGGTTGTTTCAAGAAGAGTACGATCACCGCTTTTTATCAATATCAAAGTTACCAAGTAGTACGAGCACGTAAAATACCAGACTCTTCTGATACCCGCTAAAGGTATAGTTGAAATTTGTAACATTCTAGAAAACAATCGCTATTTTCTATAATGTTTTATCAGGCATTACATGGCACCGTTCTATTAATTTTATAATTTTTGTTCTAAGCCACTTAAGGGGATGCCATTTATCTGGCTGAGTGTGTTAAAATGTTACCCGTCAATAAAGTGAAATTTCATTAAATTATGCTAAATTTAATATAAGAGAGTAGATGTATTCACTCTCTTTATCATATTGGAAATTTAGGACAGTTTTACTGATTTTTAACTGTGTTGCTTACAGATTTACTGATTCTGAAATATGGCCACCAGAGCTACTGTTACAATCCCGTGTAATCTTTTACATCTGTATAACTTTCTGGCTATCATTTGTGTTTGTTAACCGGTCTGGCTTCTTCTTTAAGATTCCTTATTACAACCTATGACCTTTTTAATCAAAAGGTCAGTCGACAGGAATACATTCTGTTAAGTGTGTCGGCTAGCAAAATTCTAAAATGTCGCTTGAAAACTAAGTGTATTAAGCCTTGAGTAGTGATGTAAATCTTCATTAATGTAAAGGCGTTAAAAACTGATTTGATGATTGAAATTTGACTGCCTTGACCAAGGAGTTACAGCTTTAACGAACTGATAATGAAGTCCGAAATGTACTTTTTTGAAATGATATTAAACTCATGCGCCTTTTGATAACCAGCAGGCGTTTATTTACTGCCTACTACTGCCTCAAGTAGTACTGCTGTGTAAGTGTTACAGCTCCATCCAAACGACTACCTCAATATAAAAAATAACAAACAGCTTGATTGTGTGCAGATGATGTGATCCCTTTTCATATTTTCAAGGCTTCTATTTTCTTATAAAATAACAAAAATCATTCTGTCAGTGGACTTCAATGTGTACTAAGATTGTCATTTCCAATGACAATAGTGCAATGTAGTTTGTAACTTCGTTTAGTCATCTATAGGTGAGATAAAGATTTTTTTATTTAAAAAAAATCATTATTTGCATGCTTGAAATCAACCCTTAATAGCGGTATACATGAGTAACACGATGATTGAGTAGATATACTTTTCAGGAATATCAATTGCGACTAAAAGTACAAGCAACTAAATTATGATTAATAATAACTACACATTTATAGTAAAAATGTACTTTAAAGTATACAATGTTTTACCTGTAAAGTGTACTGATTTTTTTTTGTTTTTTGGTTATGAAATAAGTTTTAATACACTAATGTATGCATAGACCTGCAAATTGCTAATCAGTCACATAAATCATGTATTTTAGTAACCAACTGAAGATAGAGTAGATCCAAGTTCAAAAGTCATCAATTTGTATAAGACTGAGAATTAAAATATGTGAGGTTTAGGCTGAACTGTTTACAATCTCAGTTTTACTCAGTGATTTTATATTAATCTAAAATTAGGATACGTTTGAAAAACCTCACTCTTATAATATGCGAAACAATTCTGCTTATGGATAAAGTAACAAACAAAACTAGGCACAAAAATTGAGGAGGCTTGGTAAATCCATTCACGTGATATCAGTGAATGAAATTATTTACAGTTGATCTGAATTACCAAAGTAAAGTGTGAGATTACTGTTAGACGTGTAGAAATTGACAGCAATCAACACAGTGACGAAGGAAATGGAGATAGATAGGATACACGCTGAGGCGGCCGTCGGGTTGACTCTGAGTGCCAGGCCCCCTATCGGGAAACGGTGAGTTGGGCGTCTGATGGTGATATGCAAGAGATCGTGTGGGGAGGAGATGAAGGCTGATGGACAATCGTAGGGCTGATTGCAGAGGAGAAAGTGGAGATGTGCTGTTGAGGCTCTATGTTCCACTCGTAATCAAAGGGCATAATAATAATCTGAGTTATTCAAACGACAGGATGATGGGTGAACTAGTATTTGGACATATTATTCTACTGTATTTGAATGGCTTAGCCACACGCTGTCGGTTTAAAAGCCTCAGTTACATAATTCGTAATCACTTATAGTGGGCAAAGTGCATCAAGTCTTCACATTGCTTCCGATCTTTGAAAATGTACTTCAAATTACCTACTTATTTTCATCTTCTTTCTGGAGCAGTTTAATACAACCGTATCTAAAATAAGTATGAAACATGGAAAGGCTTCAAGTACTCCCTCTTTCTCTCCCTCTTTCCACTTACATCCATTTAATAGTAGGCTTTCGTTTTTGATAGGCAACTCTATACACTATATTACAGTATTTATTTGTCACAAGCTAACTTCTCATTGTATCACGAGTTGTTTAACTAAACAACTTCTGCATATTACAATTAATTAAAAAAACCAGATAACTGTCCCTAACTAGCTGTTTTAATGCCTTTCTTAAAAGCAGAAGCATATCCAAAATACAAATTATTATTATTATAAATCTGCTAAAGAAGCTGTGGCTTACACAGAGAAACGTTCAGAAAAATCTTGTTCTGATTTTCTTAAACATGCTGGGATTAATTTAAATAATTTATAATGTATTATTATTATCTTTCATCATTATATGCTTGTCAGCATCACTGGAGAAATTTTTTCATGTATATGTCGAAAAGGTTTACTATACTATTTTATGTACAGCCGATCTCATGAAATCCATCAGTTTGGCATTAGCCTAATCGATACATCACGCTGATGTTAGTTGATCGAACGTCGTGTGAATGAACAAATAACAATGTAATGACGATGTGTTGTCGCTTACCTAACTATTTCATTTCTAGTTTATACTAAACTTCAGCATACAGAGTTGGATGTTAGCAAATAATCTTCAGAAAACTCTGTCCTCACCATCCATCTCTATCCGTGATATCAGTTTGAACTGTGATAAAAACAATGAATTTTCTTCATGCCTCAGATGTGCATTGATGACAAGTGTTATCATACATGTAATTATAGTCAACCAGTGTTTCATGTTGAGTACTGCGTCATTCTAGTCGCTAACCATATTACCCATATCTTCATGTAACTAGAAAGCAACGCCGATCGTTTTCCATCCCCTATACAGTATCAGCAGACACTTTTTCATTACACACAAAGTTTTTGGACATTTTAAATATGCACTGATAATAATTTCGCAATAAAATGAAGTGCACTCAACATTTGACTTGATAACAGTGCCTCAGTGAAGTGTGAATACACCACTGAAATACTGGAGTGATTGAATAATGAAACTTAAAAGTGATTTTTGTTATACTCCTTTGGTATTAGTAAGTGAAAGTCATTTGTGAAACATGAACAGAAAATATCAATGTACATACACTTAGACCTGATTTTCTTAATAGTACAATATGTCATTAATAAGCTCTTTGCATCACAGATAACCTCAGATGTCATTTGTCCTTAATAAAGACACTAACAGTCACAACAGATATTGAATATGTAGACTTTTTGTACTACTTAATACAGAAAGTTTCACCCAGCATTAAATTGTTTACTGTCAAGTGTTTTATTTCAGAAAAAGTTCCCATTTTTCAAAAACTATTTCCAGATTTCCATGCTACAGTGAATAGAAATTCATGCCCACACATTACACAATACATTAAAATGACTCGTCTGACTGATATTACTTATGCACTTGACAGTCACATACACATTAGAACTGGACTGCGGCTCTTATATGTTGGTTAAAAGTATTACCCCGAAGTCTTGATAGGGTTTCGAGCAGTTTGGAAATGTAATAAGGAAATCCAAGAGTCACAGTTTCGCTTTACATTACCCATAAGTCATATGTGGTGACTCTATGATAATTTTCTCTTCAAGTAAATAACCTTTAAAAGTCTTATTAACATAAGTGAGATTTTCCTAAGTTAAATGAACAAGTATTAGTGTGAATAAAATTAAGTGAATAGTTGTCAGGATTCAAAGTAAGCTATACAAAACAGTGTTTTTGCATGTCGGATAAATAAAAAAATCCTCATAAAACTTTAATTCAATGATATTAATCCTCCTAAGATATTTCTACTACCTTATTTGTGAATGACTCGACATGGACTTTGTTGAAAACTAAGTGTAAATTTCAGTGTAACAAATTTCAAACTACTAAAAAGATAAGGATTAGCATTAATTATAACTAGTAAACACTTGGTAGAGTGGATGTTTATCCCAATGTTCTGAAATGATACTTCTGTAATATGAATTGTTGCATTCCTCTTTTTCTGTAATCTTCAAAATCATACAGACGCGTGCTTGCACTCACTCACACATAGAACTATGTGAAGACATGCATATTTACAACTAAGAGTATGATTTGATATATATATATATATGCGTATACGATTTGAGCAGACACCAAACAGGAATATGTATACAACAAGAAGAGGAATTAGAAGGGAAAAAGTTGAAGTGTAAATGAAAAGACTTTTGTGGATGCCTGTATCGTTGCTTTTAATGGGAAGAAATGATCACTTTCTGAGTCGAACAGAAGACAGTTTCTGTATATGTAACAATAATAAACAATGAAAGTGATTCCTAATGGCAAGCTAAACAGTAGTTAAGTACAACGGAAAGTACCAAAAGTAACAGCCTGGTCTTGATTTTCTTCTACGACAAAACTCATTTATAAGCCAGTGGCAAAATTATTAGGATTGGCGAAATACACCCCTGACAAAGACTTCGATTAGATTACTTTTAACACTACATACTGTTAGGCTATTCAAATACACTCGAATAAATGTGTCCGAATACGGGTTCACTGATCATCCTATGACTTCTGAATGACTTAGCAACATACCACATACCATCAGCCTAGTTTGGCCTTCATCTAGCAGTGCGTATAGTCAAAGGACGGGAAGAAACCACTAATTATGACTTCCTTTTTTGTGTAAGTAATTGTCACCGCCACTGATAGAAAATCATTTCAAGCGATGAATAATATATGATTGGATATTAATTAAGATGGAGTATGCGTGTACGGTGACAAGGGATACTACCAGACATAAAACTTTGCATCATGATTGTTTATTAAGTGGGGCACAGTCGTGCGAAGCTTCTTTTAATCTCTGAGCAATACTAAATTTCATTTTGAATTGTTGTTGCAGTAATAGGCCAACATCATCCGGTATGTTGCTAGGCTATTGAAATACATAAGGTTTGAAATGAGCTAAAAACCTAGACTAGCTAATCCCAAAGTAATTGTCAAGAGCCTAGCAACACGCAGTTTATAGTTAGTCTAATAAAATACTCTCCTCTTTCGTCTAAAAGACAAGAAGAAATTCTTACACTTACGGCTTTATTGTCTTTCTTTAAAAAAAAACAGTCTTGACCTTAAGCTAAGATTATTATAATTTAGAAACTATAAAACAGTTTCGAAAAATCCCAATCTATTTCTCAACTCCATTAACAAGATGCCTTAACTGTTCTCTGGGAAAAAAAGCTTCAAACATTCATCTCTCTCACTGCTGACAAACTACTATATGTATTCTAAGCCTAGTATTAATATCACAGTACTCAAATAATAGTAATAGTAATACATAACATGTTATGTATACCTCAAAATAAGAATATTTTAGTAATTTTTTTTCTCCTGAGAATGTAACAAAGACAAATAAGTGTACATTAAGGGACACTGATGAACATCACAATAATTCTTGCATCCATACCTTTTATGGAAAGACAAGGTAGGTATTAAAACTTTTTCCCAAGGGTCAAATGAGGTCAAATGGTAAAAAGATGAGGAGTACAGGGGATGAGGATGAAACAGAAGAATAGGATAAGAGAGTAGAAGATAAAGCAAAAGAGAATCGAAAAGGAGGGGGTAAGGAAAAAATAAGTAAAAAAAAATAGGGAAAGAGATTAAAGTTAATGCACGATAATTATCTTCTCATTTTTATCACCATCTCAATCATTAGCTTGATAAAAATTTAACCATGATCTCAGTAGTTGTATAAAGGTGAACATTTTTCATGCTTTCGTGATGAGAAGAAATAAAATTTGCGATTGCGCAAATCTACAACGCCTTGTCTAAATAAATCCCCTTTCACTCACAACTCTTACTCAACTTTAATTTCCTAGGTGTGTTTGGTTGTATGTGTGTGCTTGTTTGAATGAGGTCAATATTACCATGACCCGTATACAAAGCGAAGGCTAGTAATCATCACTGTAAGTAAAAGTAACATATGAGTAATAAATGGATCTCATCTCAAGTCAGTAAAGGGTGTAATACAAAGAAAGTTTTGGTTAAATGTTCTCAAATCTTCTCTTAGGTGAGCATGAGTCATGCGAAAAATTAGCCATCATTGCATTTCACGAATGAACGATTTATAAATGTAGGTTATTAACTTCAAGGTGAACATGATACTCATTGGCTATAACACTTTCTACCACTAGGTCTTAGGTTCAAATTCCACCTCATATACTTTAGCCTGGGAGATTGAGTAGTATCAACAACCCTCATACAATGAGTGTAGCTCATAGCTTCATATGTTAAAACTCTGTTCTGGATAACTAAATTCTCCAGAATGTGAGCTTCAGATCTAGTAGCTTACATGAAGTCTAGTGTGGGTTATGTTACACTGTTGAATGATGGAATTTATAAATCAAGGATTATGTTCTTTGTTTGGACGCTAACACACTCCTGCAAGGGTTGAAGACCCTTAGGTTCATCCACTTATAGGCCACGTTTGCACAACATTAGGCAGTTTACAAAATACTGCAAGACTCATGTCCTGTGCTTCTTGTTCTGATCTGTTTGTGTGGTAATCTAACTTTAAATCGACTGAATCACTTCACTGCAAATATTAGCACATTTCATGTAATCTTTCTCTCTCTCTTTGTCTCTACTGACCTACCTACTGAACCATGTCGTTTTCGACTTGCACGAATTGCTATTACAGTATGTTTCAGATTACCTAATGCGTGTCTCTCTCGACATGATTAAGCAACAGCAAATTGTATTCGAGAGATTATCCAATAGATAATACTCTTTCTCTGTATGACGTACCTAACAACCAATCTGGGAAACAGGAGTTTTGTTATTCCGCTGCACAATCTACTGGAATTTTGACTACGAGAAATATAACAACTGCATTATGATCCTGCTAAATGAAATTCAAATGGACATTCAATAAATGGAAAGGAATCTCTATTATAAGTTGGTCACCCAATCAAAATATCCATTACAATCCTATAGGAGGTCAGTTACAAGACCGAATAGCTCAGCGGTAACGTCTGTGATTTCAGCACTGTGAGACACGGGTTCGAATCTCAGAAGGGATATGAGTTCCTTCAGTACTGCTTCCTGACGATTGCTGACAAGCACGAAACCTGTGTGAAAGGCTTCCTGTTGATTGCATTCACCCATCTAATGACAGCAATTCAGAGTGCATCGTAATGGCCAGATACCTAGCATGGTGGCCAAATTACAAACTTGACTGATAGACTAGGCGGATGGTACTAGCTACTAACTAGCGTCCAATCAAAGAAAAGAACTCTAGATAGGAATAATTATGTAGAGGAGTGTGTTTTCGTACAGTTTACAAGGATGACAAAGAATGCATATGATTAAATTACGACCCCATCACGAATAATTTACAAATATCTAAACAAATATCATTTTAAACCTTTCATAAAAAGTAGTCAATTCATAGGTGTAAAATTTGTTCCATTCGACTTATAAAATGAAGATTCTCACCCTTGCCAACCGACTTCTTACATTCAGTAAACTATGTCGAAACTTGACAGTGCTTGTTCAGTGGTTCCACTACTTACAGGCTGTGATGCGTAAACATCTATAGTTGAAATCCTGAAACATTATCTTGTCCTTCAAATTTCTGTAATAATGTCTTTAGACTGCTGGAGTGAAAATCTGTTTTGATAAGTGGCTTTTCATGTTGCACAGGAAAAACTACTAAAAGAACAATTGGCATAGTCTCGAATTTAAGGGAATTACTGAATTTAAGACGTCATCCGGGGTTAATGAGGGTAAATATCTGATATTAGTCAATTCCGATCAAGAAACTGAATATATAGTTTTAAGGGAAATAAGATTTCTATAACTGTAAGGAAAGTTATTATAAGAATAGACACTATAATACTCTAATCTTAAGTCACCGAATGGGTTAGGAAAATCACTAACGATAAGCTCTAAATTCAAAATATTTTGGAAAATTGATATTTTTTATGAATTAATTTATTAATTCCTCATTCAAACTTATAAGTTTATCTTGAATTCTTTACTTTTTCTTTTTCAGAAGCTCAACTAGGTCCTATTTCAAACAATTTAATCCCATCTAGCACAATATCACCGCTTCCAAATCCACTTGGTGGACTTCAGATCAGCACAAATTCATCGTCACCTTTAAGTAATCTTGCTTCGAATCTATCCCTTCCATTTGTAAATACACACAACTCTTTAAAATTGAATGATCAAACAGAAAAAAATAAAATGCTGCCAGAAACTTCAGATGCATTTAACTTTGATAATCGTCTGCCGAATGCTTCATTAAGTAGTAACCTACCCCTTTTGGATTCGAACAGTATAAATTCAGGTGCTGCTGCAGCGGCTGCAGCGGCAGCTTCTGCCGCGATTGTTGCAGCATTAAGCCAATTTCTTTTAGTCAATACACCAGGACAATCCTTGCCCAATCCATCATTATTAGCTGCCACAGCTGCACTTACTAATCCAGATTTGTTGAATACTCTTATAAATACAATGCCAGCTAATAGTAATAATAATAATAGCAATAATACTGCTTCACAGGGTAATATGAATGAATTTAATCTTCACCACTTTACTAAATTATTGAACAGTTTAACTAGTGTAAATAATTCAAATTTCCCACACGCTATAACTCATTCAAATGATATAAGTCAAAGGTTGTTTAATATGGATACAACTCCGACTGGACTAAAAGAGCATGCTTTAAATTTTACCATTGATAAAACATCTAATATATCTCCTGACTCATTGAATAAATCTCCAACCTCATCTTCATCCTCATCCTTAGTATCATCAACAACATCAACATCAGGAACAACAATAACAACAAGCACACTGCCAACACCAATCAGTCATAATTATCCTTTTTCTAATCATTTAAATCAAAAGACATTATGGCCGTGTAATTTAGAAGTTGACTTCACAAACAGATCATTAGTGAATCCATTACAACCAAATCGTTCATTAAACCAACTTTTTACAGAGATCGATACAAATCTTTCTATGAACACATCATCATCATCCACAAATTCACATGACCTACAGGATAAACTTAAATCAACATTTAATTTATCAGCATATCAAAATAATCTTTCGTCTAGTAATTGTTTAATTAGTGGTATCAATGAAACTTCATTGAAATCGATTAACTCACGACTTCTTGGTATAGAAAATGAAAATTATTCTAGTGATGTTGAAGGAGGAGGTGGTATCGGTGGCACTGGATTTGGGGGTGGAGGTGGTGGTGGTGGTAATCTGACTGATTCAACGTTAAGTGGAAGTTTCAATTCATCGAAAAGAAAGCGTTCCAGCTCTCCTAATACAACAACACCCAACAGTAAAGCACGTAAATGCAGTTTTTGTAATAAACAATTCAACTGTACTAGTGCCTTGAGAATACACTACAGGAAGCATTCAGGTATGTAATCATAAAATTACCAGCAGTATTATCTGTTCTCTCCGTTATTTATTTTTTCTCATTTTTATCAAAAGGTAGCGGTTGTTGACATCTGTGATACATGACCTAGAAGATTCAGGGTTGATACTGCATTGCTGGCATTTGTTATGCAAATGTCAAAGATTTGAAAAAAAAACACAATAGACGTGTGTTTTACAAACTTAAGCCACTGATCTTTATGTAATGGATTCCGTTCAATCCAACCTACTTCAAAATTCAAGTGTTGGTTTGTAGGGATTTGATTGGTTACAGGATTTTCATCATGAGCTGACATCAGTTAGAGAACCACTGGAAAACCTTGGAGTACTGGACAGCTGTTTCGTCCTAGTTTGGGACTCTTCAGCAGTACGCACCCACCGGGATTCGAACCCAGGACCTTCTGGTTACAAGGCGAGCCCGTAGACCATTAGGCCACTGGGACCCGAACCAATGGCCAGCCCATGAACTCTAACTTCTGCCAATTCACGACATAGCGCGACCGCTAGCCAATGTCTTCGGTGAGTATTTGTCCTCACACCCGACCTGCTGCACCCTACTGGTCACGACTTCTCACTAGAACCCCAGGTAACTACCTACCTGAATAGGGCAAAACTGCCAACTGGATCATATGTAAAAACAGTGCGGCACTCTAAAACCTTACTGGTATTATTGGATACAAAACCAGTATACTGGTCAACACCGAAATAAGTATTTAGTGTTGTTAACATTCCTTTCGGGCCATCCATCTAAAATAAATAGAAGTAGAGATTAAATTACAAATTAGTACAATTTACTCTGTCTCTCTAGAAACACTTTAGTTCTACTCATTTAAGATTAGCTGTGCGGTGGAGTATTGACACACTTCTATTTATGAACACATTAACTGGCAAAAGAGTATCACAAAATCAGCTGTACTTAATATCAAACGCCTACAGACTTATACAGCATGCTGTGATAACTAATGATAATATAACTAGACACATTACACTAGTTACCATCGTCCAATCAAATGACATAACTTTGTCGTTCAAATTTCCAGAAATCTGACTGCAGCTCCTCCTGTCTCTTAAATTAAACTTGAAAATTGCTAAATTCATTGTTATTTTTTGCCTCTGGCACTTTTAGTGAAACCTAATTCCGATCTCTCTGAAGCAACAAATACTTGAAACTATTGTCACTCAAATGTATGATGAACGTTAGAATTATTATTATTATCATTGTTTCTTTTAATTCCTAGAGGAGCATAGGGATTCAGCCGCATATCTCCATTGCATTCGGTTCTCTTTCAACGTTTTCACCTGTCTCCACTTCTGCCCACATGCTTTCATCTCCTCTTCATATGACCTCCTCCATATCATCCTCAGAAGTTAGAATAGTTAATAAATTATCTTATTGGACTGATCCAGTACTATATCGCTAGATAGAAGAGATTTGAGAAAATGATAATGTTTGCAACCTCACTGTCTTAGATTAGACCTACACTGGAGTGTCAACTCCAAGTTTGTAAAATGCTGTTTTTTTAATAATGAAAAGCTCATTTGTATTTCTTTATCTTACCACCTTCATATGTTTGGCCTGGTTTGCACTGGTGGCACAGTGGTAGAATGCGCGCCAACCATACATCTGGTTTGGGGCTCGACCTCCAGCAGACTCACTCCTCAATCTCGGCTGGCTAGTAGTAAAACACACAAAGAAGGAAAGTTGGATGTGAGGCTAAGGACCCCACCTTGTAAAAATAAAACCACGACTACTGAAAATACATAGCTCAAGATAGATGTTCTATGTTCTACTCGGAGTGCAAGGGAATAAAATGAATAAATAATCTTACCACCTTCAGGTGTTTAACTTTTCCATCTTTCTTCCAGACAAATATGCAACGAATTTTCCCCTTATTTAATTTCAGAAATTCAAAGTTATTTGATGCATAAACATTCAATTTGGTCATCAGAATTTTGTTAATAATTATTTTTATTACTCGAGTTATTTCTTCTTTTTACCTCTGAGATATAAATTGATATCCGGAGGTCATCTGTGCCGCAGAGATGCATTATTGTCTAATTTTAAATATACGTAATAGGCTGATTGCAACTATCGTTATAATTTTTTTAATTATTATTATTATTACTATTACTACCACTATTATTACTCTTATCTTTGGGGTCAAAATTATCACCTCTTTGTACTCCTCAATGTGTCTGTTTATTTGCTTGTGTGTTTTTGTCCATGTATTGTTTGAAGTATGTATGTATGCGTGCATATATGCACATGTGTTACACACAAACATACTCAATGGTTATCTGTATGAAAGATAACAGCTCTTTTCTATGTGTCATCACCATTATATTTGTCATTTACCTTCTCATATGGGCTATATTTTTCACTATACTTCTCTCTACTTCTCTACCATTTGGATGAAATAAGTTGAAATTGAGTCCGGAAATCAAATTTAGCATGCACATGAGATGATAAATGTTGACGAGAGTGCATATATACATATATAGATATATGTCATCATATGAATATTTATGTCATCCTATTGTATGTGTGTAGCGTATATCAGGGTGTGTCCAACTCATAAAAACGTGTAAGAAGCAAAACAGATTAAGTAATGGCCATCTGATGAAAACTTTTGGTGTAAATTACACAAAGTAAAATGGTGGTGTGAACAGATATCTGTATGCTGCGTATGTCAGTATACCCTACATATGGATCTCAGTATGCTGTCACTACTATTATTATTATTATTATCGTCATTTCTATTTTGTCATCATACGAAAAGATGAAGTGATACATTCATACTTTTTCAAATAAAAGTTATGGCCTACTTATCAAGGATATCTCAATTAAGAAAAGAAATGAAATGGGAGTGTGAACTCAATCAATTAAATTAAAAGGTTTAATTATACATTGTCTGGATAGTGGGTGGTGTCTTTGGATGTGTGTGCAGACGTGTACCTATATACATAAGTGTGTATGTGTGTGTATGCAGTGAAGTAGAATTTGTAGTGAAAGTGACTCTTCCCTTTGTATTCAAGCTACATACGTTTTTGAAAAGAGAAAAAAAAAGATCAAAAAATGTGTAAATATGTGAGTGAAATGGCTTTAAATTCACACTTCATTGTCACCTTTGAAACCATATAACAAAAATAGTATTGATTCGTGATAATTTATCTTGATAAAATAAGCTTGACTGATGTCAGCTCATGATGAAATCCTTCATAACAAATAACTAATAGGAGAAAAATAGAAGAAGATCATTAGTCATTATAAAAGGAAGAAAAATTGTAGTTATAGCTCCTCTTGACTTTAATTGAAGATTTTCTTGAAGTATTACCCAATAATTCTAAACTGTTGTATTCGTGAAGATTGGCCTTCTTAATAATAATAATAATATAATAATCACTTTATTCCACAACAATAACAATTTACAGCATGGAATTTTCAGCGTTTCATTTTACATATTGCATTGGTTTAGCTCTTTTTATAATTATATAAATGTATAAAATTTTAAAAATATTAATAGTTAATAGGAAAAATAAAAACCCCAACAAAATACACCATTTCTAGGTCATAGTGAATAATAAATAAATAATATAACAAATCATACATGCAATAATATGCATCATTACATTTTTTAGTTTAGTTAATGATTGGGGGCTTGGGGTACGAAAAGAAATTAAAGCAAATATTGCTCCAAATGATCGTTTGTTCAACTAGAAATCCCGCAGCTTTGGGCTCGAACTCTTTCATGTAAGCACGTGGCCGTTGAAGAAGTTTTCACAACAAGGGAAATAAACTTGGCAATCATTTTGAGCACCCCAGTGGATTTGCAGCTTATTTCAGCTTCGTGGTACAGTTTACTTAGTATTGAGTAGAATATTAATTAACTGCCATTTAGCGCTACAAATGATCGGAATATTTAGCCCATAAAAACATCGAATCATGTCATGACCATGTTTTACTCGTCCCCTAATTGTACTAATCATAGTAAAGTGTATTGTAAGCAATTTTGTTAATATTTATAAAGCTGAGTTATTCAGTCACCTTCAACATGAAATGAACTGAAGGTTATAGATAGATAGGATTATTTGTGGTTCAAAGTTCTGATACTCCACTTTACTGGGTTCAAATTAACTAAAGTGATGGAGAATCGAATAAATAAGAGTCCCAACACAGATGTAAAGTGTGTAGAGTTACAGGCAACTGGAAGTACCCTGGAAAACAGCAAGATATCAACAAGTACATAAAAATGCAACTAGTTTTGAATAATACCCATCTAAACTGGCAAGCATCAATTTTGAGTGTCTTTCTGAAAATAAGGGCGAAAACTTCAACCTATACATGTTAGTACTTTAAGATTCCAATATTTACAGGTGAGGTTTGTGTTTTAACAGTCTCAAAACTGTTGTTTCAGTATTATTATTATTTCCTTTAATTCCTAGAGGAACATAGGGCTTCAGCCGTGCGTCTCCATTGCGTTTGGTTCTCTGCTAGAGTCTTCACCTGGCCTCATGTCTGCCCACACGTTTTCATCTCCTCTTTTTTAGTTTCAGTGATCCATACGAAATCAGGTGCTTAACTTTCTAGAATTTTATGCCCTACTAATAGTATTCATAATAAGTGAGTACGCAGTCCTATAAAGAACTAATTCTTGATTGCAGTCAGAATTTTCTCTCAATAGTTTTTATGTTAAATATTACCCGGTTTAATCACACAATATCTTGTGAAAAAGTAACTCATTTCGAACGACAGTATTACTTCTAGTTGTAATTTCTACAGAACTTTAGCCAACTTTAAGTGATATTCCAACAGAGTTAGTCTACAAAAAAAACCCATCGCTTTCTGTCTCAGATAAACTCAGCGATATTAGAAAGTATCATTTTTAGCTGTAGCAGTAATAGTTGTAGCAGTAGCTATATGATTATAAATAGGTACTATGGTTCTACTGTTTTTCATCTTTTTAATTTTGTTATGATAAGGAT